TATAATTAAAATTACAATAGACATAAAATAAAACAATATAAACTTAACTTATTTGGGCAGGTATGGTACCCTAAACTGCCTTTTCTGCATTTCCCATCCATCAACATGATGGGGCCACAATGGGGATGCAGGAGTCAGAAGGTCCTACAATCAAAAAGCGTAAGCTTCCTAATTCTTCCGGTGGTATGGCGGCGCATCAGTTTCTCTAATCCGTGCAGGGAGAAGAGAAACTACTGTTCACGAGTCAAGACCCCTCAGGTGCAGTTGCCGGGGGGGTAGAAATTATCTCCCCAGAAACGGGAGATTCAGAGGGGCTCATCAACCTGAGTGAGAGGGCTCTAAAGAAAAGAAGATCAAAGATAAAAGAGATCCTTTGAGGTGAGACAGAGCCTGAGGTGGAAGAGGAAACATGGAGGTCTGAGCTGACCACAATCGTAACCAGAAGCCGCGAGCCGGCAAAAGCGCCGCCACCACTTCAAAGCTAACGAGTAAGCAACTCAATTAATAAACTTTCTATCTGTGCGGGAGTTCGCCACCTGCAATATTAAGTTCTAAGTGACAAAAACTCTTTCTCGTTGCCAATTGTAAATTGGAAAGCGAGCGGAATTATCAACATTTGTTCCTTTTTTTGTTTGAGCAAACACAGAGAAAGGAAACAAAAGAGGAAAAAGATAAAAATTAAAAAGTTTAAATTCTATCAGCTTTGTTGAAGTTACATTATTTAATTGGACTAAACTATTATATCGAATTACTGGAATTGGGACTGGATTGGACTGTGAGATTCGGAAGTGGCAGAGACATCTTATAAAGAAGAAAAGCGAAAGTGACAAGGAAAGCGGGGAGAGTGGTTGAAAGAAGCAACATACAATATAACAAAGACTTGCAAATACAGATTAAAAGGATTAAATTGTATCATTAAAGTGTCGCGATTAAGAAGATAGCTTTTGAAACTTTGTTCCCTTTTTGTATTGTGAAGATTGACATGGATGTAATAAGCCCTGGTTGAAAGGACATATGGATGACCACATGGACTCTTTGTAAACAAGTGCAAGATTCCCTTTTTTTCCTTTGGCACATTGGATACCTTACTGACTTTATGTCTTGCTTTGGCTTCTCTTTTTTTTTTTTTTTTACCTTTTTGCTTTCTGGATAATCTTTCTTTTGTTTATGGTGTATGGTGTGGATACTTAAAGAGAGACAATTATAGTGATAATTACACCTCCATCCCTATTCTTTGAAATAAATACAAAGGAACTGTTAACTCCAATTAAGAAACAATGAGGGAGATTTACAGTGACTAAGCTGAGAATAATGAAAGGTGGAAAATCTCCAAAGAGAAAGTGAGAGCGCTGGGGAAAGAAGAAAAAGAAGAAAAAGAAACTAAGATTGGACTGGATTGGATTTAAAAGGCTAGAATATTAAAGGAGGGTTTGAGTTATAATATTACTATAAGATTTATGTGAATCTGTTAGCATTGTTTGTATTGTAGAAACCCTTTCTTAGGTTATGGGGGAATATAAAAAGCTTCATTTGGTTTAGAGGGAGGTGAATTAGAGGTGAAAGGGAATTTTTATAATGGTGGAGGTTTATTTTAGGTATTTCAAAGGTTGATTAATGTTTTGAGAAAGAAGGAAAGAATTTGGTATA